TTTTAAACGTTTCGCAGTCTTCAGGTGCTCCAGATTTTTGTGGTCGGTGTAGATCAGAATGGGGTGTGCTGCTCCCTCCAAAAGGTACCTCCATTCCTCCAAGGCTTATTTGATGGCCAGTAATTCTCGGTCCCCTACATAGTAGTTTCTCTCCGCTGGGGATAGCTTTCGGAAAAAGAAAGCAACAGGATGAAGCAGAAGTTTCAGACCTTGCTGCTGCGATAGGACGTCCCCCAACAGCACTCTCAGAGGCATCTACTTCTACCAGGATAGTGCTGGATCCGGATGGCTTTATATGGGTGCTGAGGTAAAAAGTCCCTTTAATGCGTCAAAAGCGTTTTGGGCTTCCAGTGTCCAAAGGAATCGGATTCCTTGTTTGGTCAGTTGATTGATAGGAGTGATGATGGCTGAGAATCCCTTGATGAACCTCCTGTAAAAGTTGGCAAAGCCTATGAAGCGCTGTACTCCCTTTTTATCAGATGGTGCAGGCCATTCCAGGATGGCGGAGACTTTCTGGGGATCCATCTTGAAGCCCTCAGTGGATATAATCAACCCTAAGAATTGAATGCTCTGGCATTCAAACTCACACTTTTCTGGTTTTGTGTAAAGTCCGTGTAGTTGGAGGTGACCGAGGACCTTCTGCACATGACCCCGGTGAAGTTCGATGGATGCAGAAAAGATCAGGATGTCGTCAAGGTATACAATCACAAAGATGTCTAAAAAGTCCCTGAAAAAGTTGTTCACTAGGTACTGGAAAGTTGCAGGGGCATTACACAGTCCGAAGGGCATAACTAAGTACTCGTAGTGCCCAAACCTGGTACGGAAGGCTGTTTTCCACTCATCTCCTCTGATCCTTACGAGATTGTATGCCCCTCTTAAATCCAGTTTTGTAAAAATATGGTTGCAGATCTGACCCTCTGGAATAGTTCTGGGACTAGTGGCAGATGATATTTGTTCTTCAGCGTGATGTTATTTTTTAATTCGTGGTAGTCCACACATTGACGGAGGGAGTGATCCTTTTTTTCCATGAAGAAGATCCCTGCACCTGCTGGTGAGGTGGAGAGTTGAATGAACCCCTTTTTGAGATTATCTTCGATGTAGTCTTTTAAAGCCTCCAACTCACGCTCTGTCAGTGGAAAGATCCAACCGAAGGGAATCTCAACTCCAGGTAGAAGTTCGATTGGGCAGTCGTAGGGCCTGTGAGGTAGAAGACTGTCTGCACCACGTTTACTGAAGACATCCAGAAAGTTATGGTATGCTGTCAGAACCATTTGGCTTACTTCGGTATCATTTTCCATGCATAACAGGGGCCCGGATTGAGCAGGATCTTGGGGCAAGCAGTGCTCGTGGCAGTAGGCCGATTGAAAGTCCACTTCACCAGATACCCAGTTTACACTGGGGTTGTGGGCCTGCAACCATGGGATCCCCAAAATGACTGGAAACAGTGGTAATGCAATAACATCCAGGTATAACTCCCCAGACGGAGATATTACCACAGGAAGTGGAATCGTTTCCTGTGTGACTGCCCCAGACCTAATGTTAGATACGTCAGCCAGATATACAGTCAGTCTCTGAGTCTTGGCCTTTAAGGGTATCTGGTGTTGCAGAGTGAAGGTTGTGTCGATAAAGCAACTGCAGGCCCCAGAATCAATGATAGCGGGTACTGGCAGGGTTCTTCCCGAAAGCTGGAATGAGATGGAAATGGTAAGGTGAGCAGGGTTGATAGTTGATAGTCTAGCAGGCAGGGTGGTCAGAGACTTATGTAGCTTTGCAGGGCAGTTCCATTCGTAATGGCCAGGTTTCCGCAGTAGAGGCATAGGTTGTACTGTCGGCGGCGTTGACGTTCCTCCAGGGTAAGTGAGGTTCGTAGAAACCCTCTTTTCATGGGTTCAGATTCATCAGTATTGGGTGAAGCAGGACTGGTTGGTGCCATGCTCGCTGGAGGTGGTACCCTGGGTAGCATCCACATGGGGCGAACTTGGCCTGCGGATCTTTCCAACCTTTGTTCCCTAAGTCGGCGGTCAATCTGGATAGCCAGGTTAATGAGTTCTTCCAATGTGTTTGGTACCCCGACTTGAGCTAGCTCATCTTTAAGGGGTTCAGCTAGGCCTAAGCAGAACTGATATCGTAGGGCAGTGTCATTCCAATTAGTATCGGCGCTCCAAAGCCTGAATTCTGTTACATAGTCCTCAGCTGCCCTGCGACCCTGCTGGAGAGACTGTAGTGCGGCTTCTGCCGATGCAGATCGCTGGGGATCATCATAGAGCAGCGCCATAGCCTCAAAGAAGCGGTTTAAGGAACTTAGCTTGGCATCTTCCTTCTCCAGTAGATGGTGGGCCCATGCTTGTGGTTTGCCCTAGAGGAGTGAGATCACAAACCCCACCTTGGTTGCCTCTAAAGAGTGGGGTTGCAACGCAAAATAGAGTTCACAGGTGTTGCAATTTGTGGTGGTTGCCAGATCTTTCAGGTGTAGGAACTCTAGGTTCAGGGGGCAACATCACCATGGCTCCTGGAACGATAGTTGGAGTGGATGTCGCTGCGGTGCTAGCAGAGGGTGTGGGTGCAGATAAAGTCTGAAAACATTTTTCTAGACGGTTATAACCCTCTTGCAGGCCCTTGGCGGCTTGTGTCAATGCCGCAATGTGCTGGCAGATCTCTTCCAGAAGAGAGGCCCCTTTCTCAGGCTCCGACATGGCCTTCTGGTACTGTTACGTACCTGGTTGGGAAGCCTGATGTGGAGAGGAGGCGTCCTCTTACTACTCCCCCTCAGAGCCCCTGATAGTGGGAACAGAGGGCGCAGAGCCAGGAGTGGCACGAGTGCTGGGGTGGGTCTGGAGCCGGTGGCAGACAGTTGAAGACCCAGGAGATCCGGATGCAGGCCAGGTGGGAATGCAGGAACGTGGGTGCAGCAGCAGGTAGGTCTGGCAGCAATCAGGATGCAGACCGGGAACGGACACAGGAGTGTGGATGCAACAGCAGGCAGGTATGGAGGTAAGCAGGATGCAGGCCAGGTGCAGGACCGTGGGTGCACCAGGAGGTAAGTATGGCAGCAATCAGGATACAGGCCAGGTGCAGATATAGGTAAGTAGGTGCAGCAGAGTGAGACAAGCTGGGTCAGGATCAAACGAGCAAATGAAGTACAAGGGAGCAGGCAAGTGGATAGTCGGGGATAGCCGGGGTCGGTGCAGGCGGAGTTCTTTCTTAGTCAGGGTCAGATCAGATACAGGCAACAGAATCAGGTTATGGAGTGCAGAATGCTATAGACCAGCAGGCATTGACTGAACTGTATTGGAGGTTTAAATAGCCCGCCTTGCGGTGACTTGTACGCTACTGCGCATGCACGCACTCGCACGCTCCTGCGCATGTGCACCTGAGCACTCGCGCCGCCGTGGCCAGAGGAGATCTGGCGCAGTCGCACGGCTGCACGGAGGAGGGATCCCTGACAGTCGCCCAATCAACTTTGCTGAATTTGGCTGAATCTGGGTTGACATTATATCTCTAAACACTGCAGAATTAATCCGGCTGCTTCTGTGTTCTGTCACATCATCAATAAACACCAATGATCCAGTGCCACTGGAAGTCATGCATGCCCAAGCCATCACACTGCCCCCACCATGTTTTACAGATGACGTTGTGTGTGCTTTGGATCATGTGCTGTTTCAAGCCTTCTCCACACTTTTTTCTTCCTGTCATTCTGGTACAGATTAATCTTAGTGTCATCTGTCCAAAGAATGCTTTTCCAGAACTGGTCTGGCTTTTTTAGATGTTTTTTAGCAAAGTCTAATCTGGCTTTTCTATTCTTCAGGCTTATGAATGGTTTGCACCTTATGGTGAAACCTCTGTATTTGCTCTCGTGAAGTTTCCTCTTGATTGTAGACTTTGACAATGATACCCACCTCCTGGAGAGTGTCCTTCACATGTCTGGATGTTGTGAATGGGTTTTTCTTTACCATAGAGAGGATCCTGCGATCATCCACCACTGTTGTCTTCTGTGGACATCCATACCTTTTTATGTTGCTGAGCTCACCAGTGTGTCTTCTTTCCTCAAAATGTACCAAACTGTTGATTTGGCCACTCCTAATGTTGCTGCTATCTCTCTGATGGATTTGTTTCATTTTTGAAGACTTACAATGGCGTGTTTCACTTGCATGGACAGCTCCTTTGAATGCATGTTGTAGGTTCATAGCAATAGATTCCAAATGCAAATACCACACTTAGAATCAACTCCAGACCTTTTACCTGCTTAATTTAATGAAGAAATAATGAAGAAGTAGCCCACAAGTGGCCATGAAACAGCTTTTGATTCAATTGTTCAATTACTTTTGGTCCCTTGAAAAAGAGGGGATCGCTACTCTTAAGAGCTGGAATTCCTAAACCCTTCCTCCAATTTGGATGTACTGTACATACTCTCAAATTAAACCTGAGAGTGTGCACTTTCAACCCATATCAATTACATAACTATAGCTTGAACATGTTTTGGTAAGTACATGAACAAAAACTAAAATTGTGCCTGTCTCCAAATATATATGGACCTAACTGTATATATGCGTGTGTATATATACAGTATATAAATAATGTAAAAACAGCCATGCACCAGAGCGACATAAACACACATCCATGCATCTCTCTATCTAGATGTAAGCTCCAAGGAGCAGGGCCCTCCTTTCCATCTTGTATTGAACTGTATTGTTGCTGTATTGTCTCCTGTTATATTTTAAAGCGCTGAGCAAACTGTTGGAGCTATATAAATCTTGTATAATAAAAATAATATCTATTTTTTCTATTTTGCAAAGAGTTTCTACTTAATATGTTCCGTACGCTAAAAATATTTAAATTACCATTTTTAGAGTGAAAAAGTGTCACAGAAGACACCAGAAGAAAAAAAGACAGAAGAAAAGGGAAAAGAGCCTAGTACTCCAGGCCTCAGCAAAACACCAGAAGACAACAAAACTAAGGCAAAAAAAGACACAGAAAAAACAAACGATGATCGAGTTAGCAAAATGAGGGAAAGATTTAGACAAGAAAAAAATAGTAGTGCAATGGATAAGGAGAAGTTGGAGAGGACTCCATCTAAAAAACAGGAAGAAGAAAAGAGTGCAAAGCAGGCAGCAAAGGACAAAGCAGTAAAGGAAAGCACCGATGAGAAAACAGAAAAGGTAGTTGAAAAGACAGAAAAGAAGGAAACGGCAAAGCTTCAGTCTGAAACTAAACTGGATAAAAAAGCAACTCCAGACAAAACTCAGGAGAAACAAGATAAAGCCAAAAGAGTCCAAGCTAATAAAAATATATCAGAAGAGAAGCCACCAGCTGATCAAGACAAAAAGAATGCAAAGAATTCAAGCCAACAGAAGACTGAAAATGGAGCTAAGAACACAACAGAAGAGAATAAGGACGACGAGGCATCAAAAATCTTCGATGAACTTCTAGAGAAAGTGAAAAATAATGAACCAGAATTGGTAGAGCTCAACCTGAACAATTCAGAGTGTATTACCATAGACACCCTAATGAGTTTTACAGAGGGCTTAGAGTTCAACACTGTAGTTAAAACATTTTCATTAGCGAACACACGTGCTGATGACCACATTGCTTTGGCCATTGCTGTTTTGCTCAAATCCAACAAGACCATTCTTAGTATCAATCTGGACTCCAACCACATTACAGGCAAAGGTATACTGGCTATTTTCAGAGCTTTGCAGCACAATGATACACTGACAGAACTACGCTTTCATAATCAACGTCACATATGTGGAGGGAAAACTGAGATGGAGATAGCAAAGATTCTAAAGGAGAATACTACTCTTTTAAAACTTGGGTATCATTTTGAACTAGCTGGTCCCCGCATGACTGTCACCAATTTGCTGAGTCGCAACATGGACAAGCAAAGGCAGCGTAGACTGGCAGAACAAAAAGCACTAAAGGAGGCTGAGGCCAAGAAGAACTGTTTAGAAGTTCCCAAGGTAGTTCCTCCCCCAAAAGAGCCCCCAAAACCAGCAAAACCAGTTTCAAACAAAGTCAAAAAGGATGTCCCCAAAAAGGATGGGGTGCCTGCACCACCTCCTCCTCCTCCACCAATGGCACCCTTGGCACCCCCTCTCGAAAACATTAGGAACTCTTTGTCCCCTGCATCTCGAAGAAGGATAGAAGAAAAGACAGGACCTGCAGAGAAGAACACAAGAGACAAACTTCTGGAATCAATTAGGTCAAGCAATCTTAAACAGCTAAAAAAGGTAAGAGGCATAATACATACACATTCTTTTAGAGATAACTGCAGATTTTTGCAAAGAATAGGCAGAATTAATGTTTGTTTGACCCTAGTATGGCCATTGTGTACTCTAGATGACAATGTACCATGAAAATCAAAACATACTATAAGTCTGGATTTTGAAGATGTCTTCCTCTAATAGAACACACAGAGGGTTTGATATTGCCAGAGCTCCTTCTTACACAGTGCACATGTATGCTATGTGATGTTCTCCACATCATTTATTTTGTTTAACCCTTTGAGGACCAAGGGACGTACAGTCAGGTCCATAAATATTGGGACATCGACACAATTCTAACATTGTTGGCTCTATACACCACCACAATGGATTTGAAATGAAAAAACAAGATGTGCTTTAAATGCAGACTGTCATCTTTAATTTGAGGGTATTTACATCCAATTCAGGTGATCAGTGTAGGAATTACAACAGTTTGCATATGTGCCTCCCACTTGTTAAGGGACCAAAGTAATGGGACAATTGGCTTCTCAGCTGTTCCATGGCCAGGTGTGTGTTATTCCCTAATTATCCCAATTACAATGAGCACATAAAAGGTCCAGAGTTAATTTCAAGTGTGCGTTTGCATTTTTGCAGTTTGCATTTGGAATCTGTTGCTGTCAACTCTCAAGATGAGATCCAAAGAGCTGTCACTATCAGTGAAGCAAGCCATCATTAGGCTGAAAAAACAAAACAAACCCATCAGAGAGATAGCAAAAACATTAGGCGTGGCCAAAGCAACTGTTTGGAACATTCTTAAAAAGAAGGAATGCACCGGTGAGCTCAGCAACACCAAAAGACCCGGAAGACCACGGAAAACAACTGTGGTGGATGACCAAAGAATTCTTTCCCTGGTGAAGAAAACACCCTTCACAACAGTTGGCCAGATCAAGAACACTCTCCAGGAGGTAGGTGTATGTGTGTCAAAGTCAACAATCAAGAGAAGACTTCACCAGAGTGAATAAAGAGGGTTCACCACAAGATGTAAACCATTGGTGAGCCTCAAAAACAGGAAGGCCAGATTAGAGTTTGCCAAACGACATGTAAAAAAGCCTTCACAGTTCTGGAACAACATCCTATGGACAGATGAGACCAAGATCAACTTGTACCAGAGTGATGGGAAGAGAAGAGTATGGAGAAGGAAAGGAACTGCTCATGATCCTAAGCATACCACCTCATCAGTGAAGCATGGTGGTGGTAGTGTCATGGCGTGGGCATGTATGGCTGCCAATGGAACTGGTTCTCTTGTATTTATTGATGATGTGACTTCTGACAAAAGCAGCAGGATGAATTCTGAAGTGTTTCAGGCAATATTATCTACTCATATTCAGCCAAATGCTTCAGAACTCATTGAACGCTGCTTCACAGTGCAGATGGACAATTATTATTATTATACAGTATTTATAAAGCGCCAATAGTTCGCTCAGCGCTGTACATTACAAAGGGGGACAGAACATGTGACAGAACAATACCAATACAATGCAAAACATGAGGGGATCGAGGGCGACAATGACCCAAAGCAGACTGCAAAAGCAACCAAAGAGTTTTTTAGGGGAAAGAAGTGGAATGTTATGCAATGGCCAAGTCAATCACCTGACCTGAATCCGATTGAGCATGCATTTCACTTGCTGAAGACAAAACTGAAGGGAAAATGCCCCAAGAACAAGCAGGAACTGAAGACAGTTGCAGTAGAGGCCTGGCAGAGCATCACCAGGGATGAAACCCAGCGTCTGGTGATATCTATGCGTTCCAGACTTCAGGCTGTAATTGACTGCAAAGGATTTGCAACCAAGTATTAAAAAGTGAAAGTTTGATTTATGATTATTATTCTGTCCCATTACTTTTGGTCCCTTAACAAGTTGGAGGCACATATGCAAACTGTTGTATTTCCTACACCGTTCATCTGATTTGGATGTAAATACCCTCAAATTAAAGCTGACAGCCTGCAGTTAAATCACATCTTGTTTGTTTCATTTCAAATCCATTGTGGTGGTGTATAGAGCCAAAAATGTTAGAATTGTGTCGATGTCCCAATATTTATGGACCTGACTGTATTTGTCCCATGTTTTTAATTGCGTGTATCATCTGATTAAGAACTTAAAACTCTTTTTTTTTTTTTGGTTTGAGTCAAAATATTAGTTCTTATCAACAAACAACAAATGGATCTAGCTTTTTGCCAATTATTTCATGAAATGGCTTAGTTACAGAAACTGAAGTGTACGAACTTTAAACACAAAAAAATTGATTCTTTTGGTATTCCAAAATCTTACGGTCCTCAAAGGGTTAACCATAAAAATATTAAGCTGTCACTTGAATACATGGTAGTGTTTTGGACTCGGTCACTTACAGACCATTTACCGTGATCTACCAGTGAGCCAAATTAATATAGAATTACGTGCACGTGGAAGAAAGACACTGACACTGTTGCAGTATGTCAACTTCCTAAAAATTCTGTTTTATTGAGGAACTAACAGTATTATTTATAGGGCTTATGATGCAGGCAAAGCATTTACATTGATTGGGTGAAAAGTCCACTGGGTTCTGCGTGTTCTTCCATCCGTGTTGATATCTTCCAATCATTTTCCCCAAAAAGACTCATTCCCTTTTATGGGGGTTGTTTACATTAAAATATACTTTTCTCCTAATGAGTCAACTAGGGTGAGACCACGGATGAAGGCGCCATCTTAATTATCATCATTGTTCTGTCAACCTATATCTGATTATTTACTTAAGAGTAAGGAATTTTTAAAGAGCAAGAAGTAGAAAGTAGCAAGACTATAAAATTGTCATTTTACTGATCATCTAAAAAAAACGTGGACTATCACAATCCACTACAATCCCCCCTTAAATGGCTATTTTATTCCTAACTGTCCCTTTGTCTTTCTGATGTCCTAACTGCCTGGTGGCCCTCCCCTTGGAACTCTTCTAAGACGCATATAGAGCCCCTGAGTGGCTAATCCATCCCTAGAGTCTCAATACGTCCTGAGAAGGCCACAGTCAGGCACTGTCTTTCCCTGCTTATAGTTGTCTGTTGGGGGGGGGGGGGGGGGAGTTGCAGCATTCCTTTTTTTTTTTTTTTTTTTTTATAAGTCTGAAATATGATGATCAGTGGCCATGGTCTGTAAGGGAGTATAGGATTCCCTTTCTTCACGGGGGAGTTCAACATTGTTATAGTTCAGGAATGTAGGAGGGATCTCGTTCACAGCTTTCCCTATTAGCCTCTTAATGCAAGGGATCACAGAGCAGGCGACTATTTCCATTAGAATGATAATACCCAGGATGACCACCCCTGCTTGGGCGAGGGCTTTCTGCCAGCCACTCAGCCATCCAAACAACTAATCCCAGGGATGTGTAATACCTCAGTTTTCCTTAAGTTCATTTGACAGGTCCTCCAACCTCTTGATGGCCAGCGTCACCTTCCCATTTGGGCCTGTGTTATCTGGGGTATACGTACAGCAGGTCATGGTCTTTGGTATCATTTTACAGACCCCCCCTTTTTCAGCTAATAACATATCGAGTGTCATACGATTTTGAAAGACCATGTTAGAAGTAGCCTCCAACTGCTCTGCTATCCCCTTTAGGGCATCTCGTGTGTAGTTTACAAACCGTTGTTGATTATAGTAGATGTAGTTTATCCAATCTACATTCTTGTTCTCAGTGATGAAGAGGAATAGGGATTCAAATCCTGCGGCCACCTGGTCTCTGGCCTTGAATTCATCGGGTACCCCCCTTGGGACTCCTATTGCGTCTACATAGACATGGGGGTCAAAACTCCCTTGTGGGGCACTTCGTTTCTGCTTGGTTGCACGGGGGGTTGGGCGGCCCCTTAAGTAATGGATCTGAGAGGATGTGCAGTGGCATTATGGCCTTGGCAAGGGTACATTCCCCTCTCCACTCCCCTGTCAGTCGGGTCCTAATCTTCTGATCACCACAGATGCAGAATATATCCCCCAATGATATGACCTCATTCTGGGTTAGATCCGACCGGGCTGTACTATAAGCAGCGCAGAATCCCTTTGTGAAATTCCCCAGGAACCTTCCTCCTCCCTCGTAGTTGGCATAGCAGGTATAATTACTGGGATATATAGTTAAACCATTTGGGGCCTTTTTGTCTCCTTGGATTAGGGGGTAACACTTCTTTCAGTCCTCACATAAAAACTGGTTCGTAGAGATGTTAGTATACAGGCTTAAGACACACTCCTCTATGGAATCTGGTAGGGCTAGTGTGCACCGTCCCCAGATGTAGTCTGGCATGTTCACACACATAGCAGTTGGACTTATTATGCGAGTTTGCATTGTATCTCATCCATTCTAACCACAGATTAGTGTCTGAGAGGCCGTTTTTTTCTGCTATGGTATCTTCGTATGTAGGGTTTGCTATGGCCACCATCTCTGCCAACGTGTTGATCTTTGGCATAAGTGGGTTATAGGTGGGAGCGGTATCTCTGGAAGATTCCCATCGTTTTGACCCATACATATCCTTTATCCAGAATTTTCCCATCATCCCTCCCCATGTGCCCCTGCCAACCAGTGACCCAAACAGTAAAGCCCCTCATCTCCTGGGCTGGGGTTCTCTATGGTGAGGGTGAGTGGCATAGTTCTCCCGGTTGGTTTTTCATATGAACATGTGCCTGTTTTAAGTATAGTCAATCTATCAATTAGGCTCTTCCCATTTTTATCTTTGTGGTTTAAAGCACTTAGTGGTTTATACCCCCAGTCAGGCCCCGTATTCTATCCTACTGAGACCCTGTATCCGCACTTGTCTCCCCAATAATCATCCGTCACACATATATATATACTACTGGAGTGATCCTGATACGTAGTACACTGCCAAGGTTGTTTCGGACAAGGCGCTATGAAGCAGAAGTCAAAGGTGAAAGTGGCCACACAGGTGTTGGAAGAATTGTACCAAAATGTTATCAGGCCACTCTGATCGGGTGTCCCACCTTCCCTTGTGATTGCCACTCTTTGTCCCCTCCCATTCCCACCAAAAAAAAGGATATGCAACACAATCATTGTGGTGTGGGTGACACGGACAGGGCCTCGTCCTCTGGAGCTGGAACCTTCTTGCAATGTGAGGCGTGTATCCAGGTGGA